CCTGCACTTCAAACTCTCACATTTCCATCATGTCATGCCGGGGCTTGTTTCAGTCACGACCCCTGAGAGGACACTCCCAGGGGGTGGGCCCCTCTACCTTCAGAGTTAGAGGGGCCCACAATAACCACAAACAAGAATAAATCCAAGTCAGAAATCAGATTGGGTCAACGCACCTTTAAAAATCCTCATCGCATAAGTAGTTATATCCATCTGTTACTCTAAACATCTTGAGACAAAGTTAGAGCAGCTTTTAAAACCTGAAATACCCTCAAAACTTAAACGTATACATTTTCTCATTATTAGAAATGTATAGAATATAGCCTCTACAACACTAAGTTAAAATTGGAAAATCATAATGTGCCTTATAATTAATCTGTTAAATTCTTGTTCTCTCTTTAAGAGGTTTGCACAATTAATAACTGTAAGAATCACTCTGAGGATGTTCTCATAAGACTTTAATTTTAAATCGATTTTAAGCTTTTTAGATGATTCTGAGGAGTGACTTCCACTAAGGTCTGAAGGTATCCTCTGCACCTCAGGATGGAAACTCCACCAAACAAAGGAGGACGGAACTCGGATAGAATCAGTCAGATATCTACAATGAAGAAGAAGATGCTACTTACATGTTCTCTTCTCCTCAGACGTCCCTGCTCTCATGCGATGAACCAACAACCCGGTCAGTGAATATCGCAGCCTGCTGAAGATGATCCAGAGCAGAGAAGAGCGACACGATCAAATCCTTCACTTTTTGTTTCCTCTGCTTCTAAACGATACGAAGAATCCTTTCCATCGGAACGAGGTGTTAACGGTGTGTGTGTGTGTGTGTGTGTGTGTGATGCAGATGTGAGCTGCTCAGCACTGAACTCACTCTCTCACTCATCCGCTCTTAAAACCTCCGCACACCACACACGCACGCAAACGCACGCACGCAGAAGCATGTACGTACGTACACGGGACTGAACAGAGGGAGAGGAGGAGACCGTCCGTGTATATATATATATAATACCGTATATATATACACGGTATTAAGCCTGCTCCAAGCTATAATAATAATATAATGATATAATTTACAATTTCTAACGTTTTTCTACATAAACGTTTTTATCATCACTGAAAAATTAGTTGTTGAGTAAGATAATTATACTTATTATATCCATTTATGTATGCTATATATATATATATATATATATATATATATATATATATATACAGTATATATATATATATATATATATATGTATTAAACTTACTATACTATATAAACAAAGTCCAAAGTTTAAAAAAAGAGATCTTAAAGGTTTGATAATTACATTACATTTTACAACATTGCTGATAATATTAGAAATAATAATATGAAGAACATTATCAAAGGAACTCCATCAATGGAAAAAAAGAAAATCTGGATACACCATCTATATTCTGTTGTTAACTTCCTCTTGGAGACAGAATCAAAGCACATGAGACTAAATCCACAATAGAAGGAAGCACAGTTCTCACTGAACTTTGAATAAAACAGGTGAACAGCCTCGGTGGAGAAGCGTCAGGGTTCTGTGAACTGAATCCTGCGTTAGGTCTGTGCGATTCACTTACTTCAGAGAGAAAGCTGCAACTAGCACTACTGCCCTCCAATAATTACAATTTTAATTTGAATAAACTTGGATTTTCATATATTTCAAGGTATCCTTGCTTCACAAACTGATACCATGTTAGTGAATATGATGTCACCTAGTATTCAGCCTCTCCTGTTTGCTGTAAAGTGGCGGCAGAGTTGTGAAATGTGGTGAAATGACCCATCATGGTCACACATTGCTGACACAGCAGCTCCTCTTCACCTTTAGTAGCCGTTGCTGCAGGATTCAGAGTCAAGGTGAGCCTGGGGCTTTTTTTCCCTCTTCCAGAGAGCTATGAAAACAGGGCTTTTTTCTCTCAATATGATGTGATAAAGAAATATCATTTAACATATTAGAAATATATTAATAATAAATCTATCAGTAAACAAACACGTGGGCCCTGAATTAAAAACTCACCAATTGTAATGTTTGTTCATTTCAGTTACATCATTATATTGTACAGACTCACAACACAAACACAACTGTACTGCATGTAGTGTACTGCACAGTAAACAGGTTATAATGGGCTACTTTGCTTTCTGTGATATTATAATACTTCCCATTATATATTGTGTATCAATGTGTTTAAATCGTTATCCTTTAACTACATTACTGAAATGAATCATTATCGTAAAGCTATGATAATGTGAGACAATCAAATAGACTCCATATCTCACAGCGTATTACAACCCAAAGACCTTGAGCTGCCTAATAGTAATTATGACTCGCGTAAAGATGGATCTCAGGTGATGTAGAAGTGAACTGAACGACTGTGGAGGAAATGAAACTGAACACTCAACAACTGACATTTATGTGGTGACCAGAAACATGTGTTGCAATGTTGCCTCGTGTCGGAAATAGTAAAATATATGGTTTCTCATTATATGACATAAAACATAATGATATATATATATATATATATAGATAGATAGATAAAGGTGTGTCTTGGTCTTGATTCAGTCTAGTCATTATGTATATAACATGAATACTGAAGCTATTTAAACATCTAATCCATCTACTAGTTCCAGAAATCCAGAAGTCTGACTCTCAAATGAATATCTAGAAAACTGTTTATCTTATCAACCTCACATCTGGCATGTGTATTGTTAAGGGTCCAGGAAAGTGCATAGTCGAATTTGGTGCCATTTAGACGCACTCGATATTTAAACGACAACCGATTCTCCCCGTCCGAGTTCTGTGGCCGAGCGTCACCGAACTGTCGACAAACAGGTGAACAGCTCTTTGTGCAGCAGCGGTGGTGCAGCTTCAGGGTCGTGTGGACTGAGTCCAGTCTTTAGTCGCTGCCTCTCTGTTCCTGCGGCTCACTTTTACAGTTTGAGAAAGAAAGCTGCAAACAGGCAGGTTTGGAACGGGCACTCCCTACTACAATACTAAGAAAGAGCCGATGTCTAAATTTGAGTGTGACTCGGTTCTCTTTATTTGCTCAGGAGAAACATGAGGAAGTAGAATTTATAACTTCGATAAGCTCAGCCTGCTTTTATTAATGTCCCTCTGGGATCATCCTAAATAAGTAACAGTATCATAATGATTTACTAAACTCTTAATATCACTCAGTCATGGTTTCAGCCATTGTTTGACAAAGGATTTCATACGTTTGAAGGTTAATAAAAGTGACATATTAATCTCATTTCCATATGCAAAGGAGGATTAAGCACTCGTGTTGAATGCATTCCGACAACATGGCTCACAAGTGCTTACAGTTACTGGGAATCAAAAGAAAGTCAGAGCAGCGTCCAGTCAGAGAGACAGTGTAGAGTCCTGTCAGTGTCACGAGTGTGATTGAGGTCTTTTTTGAAAACAGAATGAGGACTGCCGATGGTTGAGACGCTGCTTTCACAGCTGTTACCACCATAACCGCACTTAACCCTTGCTGCATGTGGTAAACTGTGCTCTTCTGTCTCTTTCTGGTCTGGGTAAAGAACAACAAAATGTCTCCCTGTGCTTCAAAACAGTTTTCCTTTTGCTTTTATTTCGAACACAGCTGTGATCCAAAAATCTCTCCTTCCGCTCCTTCTCTCTCCATTTCCTGGATCCAACCAGCCGTCCTTCTCAGGGCCATGTGCATCCTGTTGCCTGCTGGCCGTGTTTTTTCCCGTTTAGATGTTTTCCCCCCTCTCGGTGGATTCTCGCTCTGTGAGTGCTGCTGCAGAGGAGAGAAGCTGCGACAGACGCCACACTCCCTCGTCTTTGTGAGGCAACATTTTGTCACTGATGTGGAACAGAGGCATGAGCCAGGATGGTGTCAGGACATGACCTCTGTTACTGCAATGTTGTCGGTTGTAATGTTTAGTGTTCTTGTACGAATTACAGGCTTTAACTGAAAACAGCAAATTTAAAGCTGCATCTCGTCGGGACCTCATCCTTCATACAGTTAAAGTTCAAGCACCTTTGAATGTATATAGTCTTATTTTTTATTTTTTATTAAACCTTTGACATGTTATTTAATATTTAACATCTATTACTGTAATTTTACTGGATATTCTGATATAATTCCATGACATATTTGACTTTTAACACATTAAGTCATACACCTCTAAAAGCACAAAAGTCCAAAGATCAAGGGGTTAATAATTACAGAATTTTGTAGATTTGCCTTTCTTATCTTATTCATGACTTCCACCGTTATGTCATCAATGATTTTTCATGGTTTTCTCCTTCTCAGCTTTGGTTTGAGTTTATGAAACAATAAAGTGGAGTTGAGCTCGGGGGATGAGAAATGCAAAAAATCGTGGCTGCTACTTTAGGCTCAGAGGAAGTCTGTGCTAATCCCCTTGTTGTGTCCAACACACCTGAAGGGAGAGGAATACCTTTGGTCTGTCCCACTCTCCTGAACCCTCTGACTGGAATGAGTGAGCTCATCCTTCCTCCTTTTGATAAGTGAGGGGCCCTAAGTACCGGCTCCTCAGTCACCATGAAAGAATTTACTGCCTGGGTAGAAAAAAGTGGCTTGAGGGGATCTTTTTTTTTCCCACTCAGCCTTCAACCGAGGACGTTCCTCTCCGAAAAAGGCCCGAAGAAGAAAGGAGATGTGATATGAAGGTCCGTGTCAGCTGTGTCATTGGTGAACAGCTTTCAAACTCCCAGAGGCCCGTGTAGGTTTAGTCACACACTCTGGTCACAAGCTGCACACCGTGGTCTGACCTGTACTAACTGATGCACACCGATCAGGCTTTTAGAAATGGCCGCAGGTGAAGTCACAAGAATGATGTCAATGATTCAATGATGTTATTTTGGGAAATCCAGAGCTTTAAGCCACATCTCATGACCCTCATCGGCTGAGGCCAAACATACGACAAGCCGAGCCTTACCCCGACTGTAGTGTCTTTCTGGGCCTCATTGTGACACACGAAGTTGTAATAGACTAATTACTGGCCCCAGAGGCCAGAGGGCAGGAAACACCCACTTACAGTTGATGATAACAAAGGTGAGATTTATGCTTTATCTTGGAAGTTTTTTTTTTTTTTTTTTTAAAAAATTTATGGTTTAACACAGGAAAAGACTAACAAGGTGTTGTGTCAAACGATCCTCTGGTTTGCTTCCCAGCCCCCTGTTAAAGAGCAGCACGCATTT